TGTGAGCTAGGATACCAGTAGAGTGTGAAGCAAATGTTCAAATAAGCAGGCACCGCGTGGTCACCAACCAAATCCGGGCCATGTAAACAAGAAGTGAATGGAAAATTCTAACTGGACTTACTGGGAGAAAGTCTATGAGGGTAGTAGCTACGGTGAAGGTCTGATGACAACCTCAGGGTTTATACACATTAAACTTGAGATGTGGGCATCGTTCAGCTGGACAGCAGGTGACAACACCACGTGGACTGAGTGGCTGTCAAGATATGAGGATCACAAGCCTAAGGTGAGAGTCACAGCCCAAGAACTCTTTGAAGGGGAAAAAAAAAAAAATGGAGAAAGAAAAAAAAAAAACGCAAATTGTACAGAGTTGAAATTCGATGGGTAGCAGAAAGAAAAGGAGGGATTGTCCGTTATAGCAAGCAATCGTGGGAAATGGAAAATGGGAAAAAAAATCAGAGAGGTGTTAAACCTCCAAAGACAGGAATGACAACTACTGTTTGGTCTTAAATACGTAAAGAAAAAAATCCCATGAAGGGTTTGATTCATAAAAGAATATGACACTGGGCACAGCAGCCCTTCCATTTATATATTCGAAACCAAAATGTTAAATATCTCATGAGACATGTTGTAGAAAGAAGCTGATTTACTACCGGTTTCCTCTTTGCTGTCTTTGCAAGTCACTTTTTAAAATTTATTTTGAAGACGGAGAGAGAGAGTGGAAGAGGGGCAGAGAGAGAGGGAGAGAGAGAGAATCCCAAGCAGGCTCCCCACTCTCAGTGCAGAGCGTGCTGTGAGGCTCAATCCCATGAATGTGAGATCATGACCTGAGCTGAGATCAGGAGTCAGACCTTAACTAGCTGAGCCACCCAGGGGCCCCACAATGTTTTCTTGAGTATTGAATACTTACGTTGTATCAAGCTAGTGCTCTTTGTTCTGTGTACATTATTTCGTTGACTCCTTACAATTGCCTTTGAGGTGGCCATTATTAACCTGCAAACCAGACATTCATTGTCACTGACCTGAAATCATAGAGCTGACAAATGTCAGGGACAAGAACTGATCGAGAAGTCTGACTTTAAAGTCCGTGCTCTTCCACAGAAGATAAATTTATGGGCTGAGTATGTGCTCATTTGCCTAGATTGTTGGGAAATACAATGCTATATTAGTACAATGAAAAAATACTAAGACAATGTATTCCCTTCAGCTATAATAAAAGGAAGAACATAATGAATATTTTGAAAGTCACATACATTTTACCCCTTAACATTTAAAAAGTGATCGAAACAATATCTGTCACATAGTAATCATGCAAAAACTTTGGAAGGAATGAATAGATGACCCCATACTAGACATTAGCAGGAGTCTCCCTTTTAAGGGAGTCTGTAAGGATATCACCAACCTTCATCGAATCAGAAGTGTTAGAATTTCGTGGCTGATTGATCGCCAACCTTTATTTTAAGCCCTGCCAAACAACCTGTTGTTAAGACACTCTACAGAGTTGTTAAAACCGATAGCTCAAAGCCAAAAACAGATTCCCAGTGGCTGATCAGATGACAAAAAGTGGGTCTTCTGAAGTCCCCAGTATCAGGGTTCACACGTGAAATAAGCTTCCAGATTTAACATAAGCAGTTAGATACCTTTTCTGTTTGGGCCTCTGGGGTATGAATCCCTTGAAGGTAGGGTTTCTTGGGTGTTTGTATAATGTCCTCTTTCTCATTTCATCTGCCAGAGAAATGTCATTTCATTGGCTTCTCATCCCAAATGAGAGCCAGAAGGGAACTGGGCCCTGGGCACGCTTCAGCTAGCGGCAGGGACATTAAGGTTTGTGAGAATGAGCCAATGATTACTTGAGTGACTCCTGAGAGGAATTGGTGAGGAAACAGATTGTTGACCCTGAGAGATCCAGTCACAAGGGGCATTCACTGCCTTCAAGAAATTAAGATGAACATTTTGCAAATGATGGATACATTGCCTCAGTAAAGCAATGGCTTTGGAAAGCCAGATGTTATTTGGAATGCTTTATTCAAACTGATGTCTGTATGTTTTTAGAGGAACCTCCACACTGTTTTCCAGAGCGGCTGTGCCCTATGACCCAGCAGTAGCACTGCTAGGAATTTCCCCAAGGGATCCAGGAGTGCTAATTGCTTTGATGAATAGGGGCACCTCTGCCTCTCAAGCAATAAGCTGTGGAAAGAGCCTAAAATGTCCATCAACTGACGAATGGATAAAGAAATGTGGTTTATATATACAATGGAATACTACTTGGCAAGGAGAAAGAATGAAATCCTGCCATTTGCAGCAACGTGGATGGAACTGGAGGGTGTTATGCTAAGTGAAATAAGTCAGGCAGAGAGAGACAGATACCATTTCACTCTTATGTGGGTCCTGAGAAACTTAGAAGACCCTAGGGAGGAGGGGTGGGAAAGTTACAAACAGAGAGGGAGGAGAACCATAGAGACTCTTAAATACTGAGAACAAACTGGGGTTGATGGGGGTGGGGAGGGGAAAGTGGGTGAGTAATACATTGAGGGCACCTATTGGGATGAATCACTGGGTGTTGTATGGAAACCAATTTGACAATAAATTATATTTAATAAAAATTAAAAAAAATAAAGTTTGCCCTGTCAAAAAAAAATGATGTCTATGTCTAAGATTTTTTTTATCCCCTGGCTACTGCAAATCTTTACTATAGTATGCTTCACCATATGTATATCATGTAATTTTTTCTATATGTATTTTCATATATGATGTTGAAATAGCAGATTATAAAATTAAGCACAAGAGAATTTGAGTGTTTGGACTTCCAGAAATTTGATTTTTATCACCCACTACATTAAAAAATGTGTTACCTTCTCTGACCATTTTCCATCACATTTATTCATGAATTGTGCTAAGGAGAAAGAACAAATGACAACGTGAAAAGACTCAGAACCAGTGTATCTCAGTGTGCTCCTCCCTGGGGCTCTCAAATGGAACAGAAGGTGGTCTCAGCTGGTGTCACCAGTCTGCTCTGCTGGCTGAGGTTTCACACAGTCTCTGATAGCCTGGGCAAGTCCTTTTACCTTTCTGACCAGTTTTCACTTATCGTAGAATTGGTAAGTTTATGTAAGCTCTTTCAATCTGTCTTTCCAGCTCTAACATGCTACACATAGTTTCTCATTGGAATCAATGCGGGAAAATTTTTAAACTACCCCAATTTAAAACCCATAGGTGAATAATACCTTAAATATTGACCGAGTGAAGGAAGGCCATTACTGTAGTTACTGCAAAACGTTTCTTTGACAAATGCACCCGAATTGGGTGTAGATCCTTGGGAATTACTATGATCCTCTGTCCTGCTTTCCTACTTTGTGCCCTTGTTGTAACTTACAGTCATTTCATGAGGTGTTTTTGTCTGTTTGTTTGTTTGGTTTCTGTCTCGTAGTAGATGAGTCTGGATCAGAGCTGGTAAATTGAAGGAAATATTTATACTAAACTCTTCATCTTTCTTGTTTGTTAAAAAATCTGTTCCTCTGAGTGTGACTAAGTGAAATAAGCCATACAGAAAGACAGATACCATATGTTTTCACTCTTGTGGATCCTGAGAAACAGAAACCCATGGGGAGGGAAGGGAAAAAAAGAGGTTAGAGTGGGAGAGCCAAAGCAAAGAGACTCTTAAACTGAGAAACAAACTGAGGGTTGATGGGGGGGGAGGAGGGTGGGGAGGAGGTGGGTGATGGGTATTGGGGAGGGCACCTTTTGGGATGAGCACTGGGTGTATGGAAACCAATTTGACAATAAATTTCATATATTGAAAAAAAAAAAAAATGTTCCTTGGGCTCCTGGGTGGTTCAGTCAGTTAAGTGTCCGACTCAGATCCGCGATCACAGTTCGTGGGTTGGGCCTCAGGCTGATCAGCTCTGTGCTGACAGCTCAGAGCCTGGAGCCTGCCGGATTCTGGGTCTCCCTCTCTGTCTCCTGTCTCTCCAAAATAAAAGAACATTATGGGGAAGCCTGGGTGGCGCGTGAGTTAGCGTCCGACTTCAGCCAGGTCACGTCATCTGCACTGGTGAGTTTGAGCCATTCAAACTCTGGCCAGGCTGATGGCTTGGGAGCCTGAGCCACTTCGTGTCTGCCCCTCTCCTGCCTCGGTTCATGCTCTGTCTCTCTGTCCCAAAAAAATAAATAACGTTTGAAAAAAAAATTTAATAAAAAAAAAGAAAGAAAGAAACATTAGAAAAAAAAAAAAATGCCTGCTTCCTTCAGAGTACTGCTCTTTTGGCCTCACAATCGGCGGGAAAAGGCCTGCTTAGCGCCTGGAGGACTGAGCTGTTCTGCTCAAGGCGATCTCCCTCTCTCCTCCAGTATTTCGGTTCCTCAGGCCCTGTGTTGCGGTAATTCATAGGATAACAGATACTGGGGTTGTGGGGACTTTTGAGGATGTCGGCTAGTGATTTGCCTCTCACCGAACGGTGGCAGCTTGAGGAAAACCCGGTGGGGTGGGGAGGCCAGACTGAGATCAACGATCCTGAAATCTCCTTTCCAGCACGTCCGGTCAGCTTTGTGATGGGAAAGATACCGTTTTATCCTTTCTTTCGATATTAAATGATGTAAAAGCACGATACTGTGCAATCCTGAGCCCGGCCATTGATGAAAACATCTCAGTGTGTTTAAACTGTATGACAGAGTTCAGGGGCACCTGGGTGGCTCAGTCGGTTGAGCGTCCGACTTCCATTTCCTGGCCGGGTCATGATCTGCTTGGTTTGTGAGTTGGAGCCCCACGTTGTGCTCTGTGCTGACAGAGCCTGGATCCTGGATCCTGCTTTGGATTCTGTGTCTCCCTCCCTCTCTACCCCTCCTCTGCTCATGCTCTGTCTCTGTCTCTCAAAAATAAATAAACGTAACGAAAAGAAATATAAATATCTCACCATTTGTATATGTGCTAGAGATAAAAATAGAAACAGAGAAAGTATCACAAAGTCTTGTAAGAATAACTCCCCATTTGTGCCATTTCTTTCCAGCTGTGTCCTGTGGAATCCCCGAGTCCCCGGGAAATGGTTCCTTTACGGGCAACGAGTTCACGCTGGATAGTAAAGTGATCTATGAATGTAATGAGGGCTTTAAGCTGGAAGCAGGCCAACAAGCAGCGGCCGTATGTCGGGAAGATGGACTGTGGAATAACACGGGGAAGCCTCCTGCATGTACACGTGAGTGTTAAGTGCCTTCACATGTCTTGGCGTATTTAATTAGGAGCAAGATTCACCGTTAGGAGAACTCCAGATTCCAAAGTGTGCAGAGACCCTCTCCACAGCACGTGAGGGCTTGGTCTCCGGCACTGTGCTAAGATTAAAACCAATTTATTCCGCGTGAAATATCCCAACCATGTATGTAAAGTCAGCTCTGATTCTGAAAAGTTGCTTGCAGAGAATCACGTTGGTTCCATCAGGATCTAGACCCTCTGATGTTTACAGCAAACCTTCACTAGGCTGTCTCTTTCCACGTGGGTAGGTGAATTCGAGAGGGTGTAGAGACGCGCCGTCTAGCAGTGGGTCTCCGCACAAAACACGAAGGCAGAAGTCAGCGTGAGTTTCCGATTCACCCCCCACCTCTTTGTCAATCCCTTCACGTTAAAGGCAGTGCCCGGCTTCTTTGTGGATCACCCACTCTACGTAATATGTCGGTGCTCAATAAATGAGTCACTGATTTGCAAAGTGCAGTAAGTTTTCTGGAAAGCGACTTATGGTATATAATAGTATTCTTAAGAGGGTCAAAAGTTTGGGCCCATTCTAGAGCTGTAGTCTTAAAAAATAGTAATTAACTCCATAAACAGAGCCAAAGTTCATACACACACACACACACACACACACACACACACACACACACACACAATTTACACCAAAACTTTCATTGTAGCTATATTAAAGCTAGCCTCAAATCGGAAAAAATCTAACTACCTAATTTCTGAAAATGGAAAGTTATATAATATTTCTACACATACAATATTTTTGCTCTGAAGATATTTGAAAAACGTTTTCACATGATCTTCAACTATAAAATTAGTCTATTGATCTCTTTTTGTGCACAGTACAGTATTTTTGGTCATGTTAAAATTATTTAAACGCTTAGCTACAAATGCATAAATGTTTACAGAACATAGTTGACTTTCCTCCATACTTCTTAAACTCCTTGTGATCATTTTCATTTATTTATTTTTACCTTTCAAATAATTATTGCTTTTCCTGACAGTCAATGAGACAATAGTAATATTTCTTAGTTTTTATTTCATAAAGTACTGTTTTATTGTAATTAAGAAATAGTACAGGAAGCTAGAAAAATAAGATACATCGGTAGGTTTTTACGTTCAATCCCAAATAAAATTATTTCCTCAAATGAGTTTAACCCCGTAGATGGCAGTAACACTAGATGTTTAGGGTTACCGATGATAACAATTTCCTGGGAGTTTAACACCCTGCTTACTTTGCACATAGCTTAGAGGTTGTCATTAATAACGCTTGACAATGTAAAGTATCTACTATGTGCCAAATGTTTCGAACAGCTTATCTCTCAATCCCCTGACAGCTCTGAAAAGGGAGGGCACACACGGCCTTACCAACGGAATAAAAGCTACTGGTTTGCAGAGTTAGAGTTTAAGTCGCTCCTCTCCAGTTACGTCCTACGTGCTTTTCATTATGCCAGTGGTTCTGTACTCTGGGTACACATGACAATCGTGTAGGGAGCTTTAAAAACTGCTGATGTCTAGGTCTGACTCTCAGGGATTTTGAGTTAACTAGTCTTGGATGGAGAACAGGCATTGGTGTTTTGTTTTGCTTTGTAAGTTCTCTGGGTGCTGTGCTTGAAATGTCAAGTGTATGCTAGGTTTTAAAGGCAAAGCCATTTAAAATTTGTTGAGTGTCTGAGAAAGACATGATGCATGATAAGGCAACTATGTAAATTATGTAAATGTAATTTTTATTCTCACATCCTTTTTTAATAGGCCGTTTTTTAGAAGAACTTCAGGTTTATAACAAAATCGAGCAGAGTACAGAGATTCCCATAAATCCTTCCCCGATTATCTACATTCCTCACCAACAAATGGAGAGGCTCATTTGTTACAATTGGTGAACCCATTTCGATACACCATTGTCACCCAAAGTTCATAGCTTGGGTTAAGGTTCACTCTTGGCGTCGCATGTTCTGTGGGTTTGGAAAAATGGATAAACGCAAATGCGAACCATTATGGTACCATACAGACCATTTTCGCCGCTCTGAAAATCTTCTGTGCTCTGCCTGTTATCCATCCCCACTCCCCCGCCCCTCCACTGTTGGCAACCACCGATCTTTTTCCCCGTCTCCACAGTTTGCCTTTTCCAGAAGGTCATAGAGATGAACTTTTTCATTATGTATCCTTTTCAGATATCAGGTTTTTTTTTCACTTACTGACATGTATTTCGGGTTCCTCTGTGTCTTTTCATGGCTTGATGGCCCCTTTATTTTTAGTGCTAAATAATACTGGCCCCTTCCTTTCCTGGATGGACCAGAGTTCATTTATCCTCCCGCATGTACTGTAGGGCGCCTTGGTTACCTCCAAGTGTTGGCTGTTATGAATAAAGCTGCTGTAAGCATTCAAGTGCAGGTGTTGTGTGGACGTAAGTTTCAACTCCTTTGAATAAATACTAAGAAGTATGAGTGCTTGATCATAGGGGAAGAGTATGTTTAGTTTTCTAAGAGACTGTCAAGCCATTTTCCAAAGGGGCTGCACCACTTTGCATTCCCACCAGCAGTGAGTGAGAGTTCCTGTGGCTCCACATTGTCACCAACATTTGCTGTTGTCAGTGTTCTGGATTTTAGCCTTTCTAACAACGTGTGTTTTGTTTTGTTTTTTAATTTTTTAAATGTTTATTTTTTGAGAAGGGGGAGAGGGGCAGAGAGAGAGAGAAAGACACAGAACCTGAAGCAGGCTCTAGGCTCTGAGCTGTTATGACAGCACAGAACCCAATGTAGGGTTCAAACCCACAGACCACAAGATCATGACCTGAGCCGAAATCGGATGCTTAATTGCCGGAGCCATCCAGGCACCCCACCTCCTTGTTGTTTTAATTTGCATTTCCCTGGTGACATATGATGTGGGACATGTTTTCATATATTTCTTTGCCATTAGTCTACCTTCTTTTTTTTTTTTTTTT